CGCACTTAAATTCCCCGCCGAGCCGCTTTCCAGACTTTTGAAGCCACAAAAATTGCCTGTCATTGCCCGACAATGGAACGCGGCGCACGCATAAATAAAATAGGGGGGACGCGTCTGCGGCCTGTAAAACTGCTAATTGCGGCCGACTCGGAACGAGATGAATCGAAATGTCTCCTGACAAAACATTCTGGCGCTGCTGCGGAGCTTTGAGCGGATGCTAACTCGTGCTAATGTAGCCGAGCGTGGGCAAAAGAAAAAAACTCGAGTATTCCCTGATGTCACAGCATGTTTGGAAAATGGTTTCTTTTGATGTGGCATTTTTTTAATAGCATAACGCCTCCATTTGGATGCTAGCCAGTGTTGTAAATGGCCACCACATGATGGCTAGCATCCAAATACTAACAAACAAAAAAAACTGCATTCTACTCTCTCTCTCTTCTCTCCAGTTCAGTTCCATACATGAGCTTGATTTGGCAAAGCTAAAGTCCAAGCGCCTTTCAATTCAACAAAACATTGTGTAATTGTTAAAATTGTTAGTATACATTTCAGTAGATTTCACGTGGGGGACAAACATGATTAGTTAGCATTGCTGGTCAAAGGAAATGCTAACTTAGCACACTTTTCAGACCATCCTCATGCTTACGTCTTGTGTTGATGAAATAGAATTAAGTAGATTTGACAATGGAGCCGACATGCTTGATTTTGCCGCGTTAGCCTTAGCAAACGTTAGCTTCCTTCTGCTGAGTATTGACTTTGGGTCTCTATTGACGCCCTTGTTCCTTTTCCTGCTTATCACATTTCTTCTTACCACCTGCCGTTTTCGTTTCGATGCGCGGTTGACACTGTCAAGCGAAACAGATCCAGAAATATTGTCAGTCGTCGCAATAGTAACCGGTGTGCTCAGTATTCCCCACGAACCTCAAGTGTTTTTCATTTGGTGTTGCTTTGGGACGCAGGTGAAGCATGAGGCTCCGTGTTGATGTTATCCCCCAAAGATGATTGTTTTTTTCACTCCCAGATGAGTCACAAGTCGTCATTTGTCTGCGGACGACGGAATAAAAGCCGCAGTGTGTGCAGAAAGAGCTTTTTAAAGAGACCCGGTTCCACGGAGAGGATGCTTTCACAACAATCACGCAGAGTGGGTTGATGCCATAAAACACCTGGTGCTATCCTCGCCAATCAAATTGGATTAGGAGCCCAGAGGGATTGATCTATTTGGCGCTCAGGCGCGCTCCACTCTTTGACCAGATTAGTTCGGTCTTCTCCGTGCAGCTGCATGCGAGCGGCAGAGACATGATGAAATCCTGCCGACGCAGTTGAAGCGCGCCCCTGCACGGCAAAAAAAAGTGGCGCCATTCCTGGCGCAGAACTGCCCACCTAACCACCACGTTTGACTTCTTGACAATGGCTTACCTCATATTTTAGTTGATGGCACCTTTTAACCACATACAAGAATTTAGCCTTCAGCCCGCGTGCATTTGCTAATGCTAACACATGCCGTAATCGGATACTCATTTCTAACCCTTTGACGAAATGAAATTTGGACATTTCAATATAACAGCACTCGGTCATATATTCTTTATCTTCTGCAATAAAGTCAAGAAATGATACGCTTTTCAATATGAATTATCGTATATAGTGAGGGCACAAAATCGCACAACACATTCCAACAGCGCTACAAATCTCACCGTCGGGCGCACGGCAGTGGCCAGGGAGTGATTTCAAACACGGGACCGTCGGGAGAGGAGAAAAGCATCTGTGCCATCGCCATGGCAACCCCGGCGTGGCCTCCTTTGAGTGGTTCGGCGAGAATGATGGAGTGCTAATGCTACTTTGCACTTCACTTAAGCAAAGGTGTGTGCTCTGTTTGTGCTAACCCACTCGGGTGGATGCCTGTGGGCTTTATTCGACCGTGCAGTGGAGTAAGACTGAGGAGCGTAGTGGGCGGAATGTTTGGCACGTTCACTTTGCTTTCTTTACCTCTGTCCTTTTTGGAGTGTGAAAGTATGTCTAGTGTGGTCGCAGCGTCGAGCACAGTAATATTTGGAGTTTAGTGTTGCATTATATTCCCATCCCTGCTTGTTGCTCACTTTCTTTTTTTTTTTTTTTAAACAAGCTACACATGGAAGAAATGCGCCCTTCAATTATTCCTACAAAGCAGACGACAACGGTGAAGGCGCCCGCGGCTCTTTTGTTCCATCGAGCAGACCCATGTAGAAACGAGGCTGAGAGTGGTCGCAAATGACCCCCCAAAAAAATCATCCATAAAAAAAAAAAAAAATCAATCCAAGGCCCTTCCTGCGTAGTTGTAGAATGTCAAAGAATCAGACAGGTGGCTGCATGTGAGCAATGAGCTCTTAAGAGGCATTGCGAGAAAAAGTGCAGCTCACTAATGCGCCTCGTTCTTTTTCGTCTCCTTGACATCGTCGCATCCCTTTGTCCGCCATTTTGTCCCTTCCCGCGCATGACCTCGACCGCATCTCGTTATTGATGATAGAGGACCAGGATCTTTTTTGTTTGTTTGTTTTTTGTTTTTTTTGGTAACTTGAAAAACCCGTAAATTGGGGCCCTGGTAAGTTAAGGTACATAGCCAGAACATGTCAAAATATATATTCATAAAAATAGCAGCCTCTTAGCATCAGATTGCCATTCCCCGCCCCGATCCCCCCAAAAGCGGTTGGCATTCTGAAAAATAAGGCTATTTATTTATTTATTTGGGTCTCTAACAATGTGGCTTTTTTTTCGCAAATGAGACACTCGGGTGCTCGTCATTTGCCGGCGTTTTCCCAGCTCACTGGAGGCTGTAAATAAACGTCCAGACCAGGACGGAATAAATTAGACCAAAAGAAGAAAACAACACAACTGTGGGGACGGTGTGACCACACGCACGCGCGCACAATTTAATCCTTCACCTCTCATTCGTCACGTTGACGCTGTGAACATCAATGCCGAGTGCGGCTTTGCAATTAGCTTGAGTGTGTGTGTAATTGTCAGTGCTGCTGATAAATGTCAAGGCTACAGACACACACAGGCACACTCAGGGTGGATCTCATGGCTCTTAATTGCAACAACGCTCTCAGCTCCTCAATACTTTGACGGTGACCCGGGAGGGTTGTAACTCAAATCATCTTACCCCATTGGAATGAATGGAAATTTCGTTAATCTGTTCTAGATAAAACCCACTGCAAATGTTTGTCTAATCGGCATCACAATGTAGGAGAATGCCGTTTTCAAATTACAAAGGCTGCAATTTTGGGGAAAAAAATGCATCATTTTAGTCGGTAAATTAGCTTTTTTTTTTTTTTTTAATTCATGTATATTTTATTGACTTATAATTTTGAGTTAAATTTAGTGCAGAAAAAGTGATCATGTTGATTTGTTTGCGTTATTGTAATTTCATTTATGACTTATCGACTTACATTTTACGCCACGCTTGGTAGAATTTCCCAAAGTTCTTGTTTGTTTACCAATGAATGCGGAGAGGACCTTGAAAACAATCAGGACACATTAAGTTGCAATTTTCGAGGGAATTATTTTTCAAAAGCAGCCCGAGTAATAAATCTACACATGGCGAGTTGTGACATGTCACCTTTTGTTGACATCGCCACGAAATGACGACACGGAGGAGCGAAGGTCTTATCCGTCCAAACATTTACCGAGCACGTCAACATACGAGAATGATCCCCAGTCGACAGCACTTGTTGTTTTAAAATGTGCCAAAAATGCATTTGGTTTGGATTTAAGGTCTACAGGTAGCTTGCTTCCACTGTGCTTTTCATGTTCCCCCCGCCCCCACTCCACAACAAGTAGTTTTTGTGTGTGGTTCATGCAAATGTTCGTCGTACATGGGAGGGCGCCTGTGTGGCGTGCGAGGACTTAATAGCAGGGAAAAAGTCTGAATAAAAAGCGGCAAGCAAATGAGACGGGCCGGCGAGCCCGCGGGGGCCATTAGGCACGCGACAACGCGGCTAAGCGGGACGACAAAGTGCTCCCGCTGACAGTTAGCGTGGTCGCGAAGCGCGGGTAAAACTGTTGTGACACGCGCACCCCCCCAAAAAAAATCTCCCACTCGCCCGTCTGCTATTAGCATTTTAGCAGCCGTGTTGGAATGCTCCCAAGGTGAAGCCTGTAGCTGGAGCGCAAGCTTTTAAAAACAGAGTCTGCCGTGCTAAATTTAGTAAAGCCCCCCCCAAAAAATGGTTTCATTGCAAACTGTGCTGTAAAAACACACCACAAATGGACACTTCGGAGAGTCTGGATGGGACTAAATTCTATATGAAGTCTACATGGTGTGGTCGGTATAAAAAGTGAACGTACAGAAGTGATAAAATTGTCAACCCACTTTATTATAGTTCACAAAAAAATTCAAACTCGAATTGAAAAAAAAAACTTCATTTATGAAACAATAAAACCCGAAAAGAATTTTACAAAAAATGAAAACTGACTCATGTCGTATATTTCTAAAGCTAACTAAAATGAACTTTAATTATCGCGAAAATATCCTTCGTTTTCGTCACTGTCCATTAATATCCTAAATAAGCTATCGGAGTTCATTTTTTCAGTATTGCTGACGGTACCAGGCCAGAAAAGGAAGCTCCTTGAGAAGTGCAGTTGACTTCACTACCTTTCCAAGTCAAAACTAACTATTACGAAAAATCCATAACTATTATAATGAGTGATGGGGAAAATGAAGCTTCAAAATGCTTCATTAGCCAGGTGTTGTATTTTCCTTCGACTCCTGTAGATGGCACTGTTGATTTGAAGAAAGGGGTTTTAAAAAAAATGGCAAGTCGGTGTGCTTCAGCCCTATGTTGGACGGAAAGCACCATCGATAGGGCTTAATAAAAACAACATGAAGCATTTTTGAAGCTTCATTATCACATCACTTGTCATAACCCACTTGTGGACAGTCTAGAATGATACCTACAGTACATGGTTTACAAAATGATCGCCAAAGTATCGATGCGTGTTTTTCACGTGACTTTGTTGGTGTGTGACAGGAGTGCGCCTGGTGGAGGATGACTGGCAAAACCCAGACCAGCAACGTGACCAACAAGAATGACCCTCGCTCGCTCAACTCCCGCGTCTTCATCGGCAACCTCAACACGGCCATCGTCAAGAAGACCGACATCGAGGTGATCTTCGCCAAGTACGGCAAGATCGTGGGCTGCTCCGTGCACAAGGGCTACGCCTTCGTCCAGTACATCAACGAGCGCAACGCCCGGGCGGCCGTGGCGGGCGAGAACGCCCGGGTCATCGCCGGACAGCCTCTCGGTGAGTTTGCTGGGGTGTTTTCTGCGGTGGTGACTGGTGGAGTGTCACATTGAGTCTACTTTCGGGTGAAGGTGTCGGGACCCGTGGCTAATGTGCTAATCAGGAAAGTGTCAGCTTGAGCTCGCCCGGGGCCAGAGTCGGATTAATCGTCGATTAAGGATGCAAGCGTGAATACAACACATGACCACTTTCAACATTTCATTAAATCTTATGTCACTTCATAATCATATCAACTATGTCGACACGAGTCAATTTTCACATTTCGTACAAAATAACGAGACACGTCTTAGTTTCTGTTGTCTGAGCATTTCTTCCATCTTCTTGTCAGACGTTCCGCAGGATGTCGGCGCGTGCCTGTGGGAATGTTTGTCCCGCTGTGAGGTCGTAACCGACAAAAATGTCGGACATGTTTGACAACTCTGTGAGGTCGGAGGTGCCGTTGAAGTACACAAACTCAGTCGAAAATCTAGAAAGTTGCATGTTCGGCCTTCGCCCACGGTGCGAGTGGATCAATTATTGTAACTGAGTTCTGCGGAGATGTTGTGGTTCGGCGCCAGTGGTGTTTCGTGACCACCACCCACAAAAATGTCAGCGTGTATATTCAAGACAACGTACGGAAATAACGATGTCTCACTTTTGTCAAAAATTCATTGACTCAGTCCTTTTTAATCGATTACAACTTGTTGTGGGAACCAAGAGGTCACTGTACCGTTTTTGGCGCTGTCCGTGGTCCTGAAATCAGCACCAATTTCACTTCTCGTGTCCCGGGAATCCATGTGCATGGGGAGCAGCTGTCTCAGTCTCTGCCCCCATGACGTGCGCCCTTTGACCCCGCAGCCGGCCGCACGCCGGGCTCGAGATGTTGACGGTGACGCGGCGACATGATGATCGGTGGCGTCCGCGGAAGCTCCGACCAGTGTCTTGATGCAGTGGTTCCTTCAGATAAATAAACCATACGGAAAATGGCATGCTAACAGTTAGCAACGATCGTTGCAGTTCGACAATCTTCTAAGCGGCAGATATATCTGAAATATAAATGAAGCCAGAAAAAAATAAATACTCACAGGCATTTATATTTTTTACCCCTCTGAGAAAAATGACCACAAGTCGTGGTAGCAGAAGTCTGTTCTTCTTTATTTATGTCTGCTCGACTCTATTACACAGCGCTGCCCCCCGGTGGCTAAGGCGGGCACATCAGAAGGAGCAGCACAAAGAATTGTACTGCGGCATTGAATTATGATGCACACGTTTTCATTCTTTTCATTCTATTAAATTATATTATTCGTCGATGTAGTTTTTATAAAGTTGTATTACTGTATCGAGTGCTGTTTTCCTTTATAAATTTTTTTTTTTTTTGAAGGGAAGCTCAGTGCTACTTAAAGCATTTTTCATGGTTGATATTTGTTGCTACATGCCACCTGCTTTATGCCGAGTGCTTTTTGGTTCAAGCTTCATACATTGTGCTTTGTGCTACATGCTAAATGTTTCATAATCAGGCTACAAGCTGCATTTTTTATGCTTGTCAAGGCATTGTATGATCTTTTTTTTTTTTTTTTTGCTCCACGCTTCATTCTGCATAGCATACGCTCGGTGCGGCAGCTTTGGCAGTCGTGATTGACATTCTTGACTTCACATTTGCTGCGTACAAATTGCAGCCGTTTAAAATCCCAACCGCTCCACCCCATCCCCCCCTCATCCTTCCCTCTTTTATTTTCTTGTCTTTTTTTTTTTTTTGCCCCTCATCTCCAGTGAGAGAAAGCGGTTTGAGCGGCGTCCTAACGTGACACGGCAGCGCGAGCATGTTTTTGCCTCTGGAGGCAGCAGATGTGCGCCATTGGCAGCCGCAGTTGGGGAAGGACAGTCAAAGTTGGGCGGGGGGGAGAAGGTGGGGGGTGAACACACATCATGGCCATCCTGTATGTGTTGACCCCCCCCCCCCGGTTTGCATAGCTAGGACACGCCCCCTTGGGGCCTTGAGCTTTGGATTTTGAGCTAATTTGGTTACTTTTAACCACGGTTGGGTTAATTATTTTAGATTGATTGGATTCGTGCAGGCTGAAGCCGGTCGCCATTTTGGAGAATTTGGTTGTATTCAGAAGTTGAAGTCAATTTAATCTGGTTGATCAGTTTGCAGCATATTCCATTTTTTTTTAGTCAGCATAACAGCAAAATGCCGCTTCACCATGTTTGCTTCAACTCTGGGCTCACCCCTTGTTGGAATAAAATTTGTGCTCGGTCAAATCCTCATTGGCAATGGCATTGGCTCGCTCCCTTTAGCTATCAGATATTCTACTTGGAACAGTGTGCGGTTATTTTGATGTTTGCCTCAAACCCTTTCTTGTTGCGTTAGGATCTTTTTTCGCTTGGCGTTGAGAAATATATGATGAAAAAATGAAATATATTAAGAGCATATTTTTGGCACTCATCTGGTTTGGAAGTCCCTGGTCTTATGTGCCTCCCCCACTAGTTGCACAGATGAAAAATTGTGCCCCCCCCCCCCGCGCCCCTCCAGCAATTAAGTTGCCCATTTCCTAACTCAATATTACTCTGTTAATTATTCTCATGGGCCCCCGAGTGGGCGGAGACGCTAAGCAGGTGCTTATTTGGCTTTTGCCTTGCCGCTGCCTCTGCCAGGAGCTGAAGGTCCATCCCATTACAACATTAATGGGCCACACTGAAGGATAACGCTTGATGGATCACCAATCATCGCGCCTCCAAATGGCACCGGGCGAGAGCCGGGCCACATAAATAATAACCTGATTTAGATGCAAAATCCATCGTAAGCGGATTACAGAGGCAGCGGCGTCGCAATCAATCGTCATTGCGGGCCAACGCGATGCATAGTAAGCAGCTCGCACGCAGGACCGCGCCCGAGCGCGAACGGGGTATGAGGGAGGAAATGAAATGGTGCCCGGCTGATGACGAGGCACAGTGGCGTTGATGTGATGCCGTTCGACAATTCTTTTCATCGGAGTGGATGCCGAATATCTTTTTTGGGTATGTCTAGATCAGTGTTTCTTCAAATCTGATGTCATGGTGGTACACTAGTTCCCCCTAGTGGTACACAAGAGAATCACTGCCAGAGTCCAGTTCTGTTATATTTAACTTTAAATTTTAAGTACAGTAGTTTGCAAAAGCGAGTGCACCTGTCAATTTTTTTTATTCTATCTCCCCATTGAACAACTTTGAAGCCACTTTGCTACAATGTCAAAAAGTCGGTTTAAATGTTAACTCTGCTCAAAATAACTCGACACTCAGCCCGTTAATGTCCAAATTGCTGACAACACGAGTACATTTGGCCCAATGTCGATATTTTCTCTTCGGGGTGTGCTCACTTTTGTTGCCAGTCGTTTTGACAATGAATGCCGATGTTTTGTTATTTTGAGGAGGCAGTTAAATGTTCATTGTGATACTGATATTGTAGCCAAGGGTCATTAATTTTTTTTCACCGCTGTCCCATGAACGATCTAAGAAAATATTGACAACCATGTGAAATTTTTGGAGTTGGGCAAGAGTGGTGAGACTTCAAGAGGCGGCTTGAAACGGCCCCGACACCGCGCGCTCTCTCGGTCTTTGAAGGGTCATGGGGGAATTTTCAAACGGCGGAGGAATAAAACGGCATAAGAATGATCATACATACTAAGCACAAGGAACGGAAGGCACGCAGAGGTCAGATGGTGCCATTGCATTACTTGATCGTGGATGTTCTCTTAAAAAAAAACTAAAAAAAACGCATGGTGTAAAACATTAGCTCATTCCCCTTTCTCTGAATTATTGATCAAGTATTTGTCTATTCATTCATGTCAGACGAGCTTTTGAATACATTTGGAAAATATCTGGAGTCCCAAATTTGATATAAACAACAATGAGGAGGATATTCTTGGCCCACGTGCGCATGGAAAATGAACTTGATGCAAGCTACCCAGGACATCAGGGACCCCCCCCTAGACCCCCTTGATTCTGCCGCCGGTATCTCTTTCCGTCCCCTCGGCTTGGCCCTCCCCCTCCTTCCCCCCCCGCGAGTGCATTAGTAGGCCACGAGGCGCAATGTGGACAAAGTGAGATGGATGACAGTGTGCATGTTGGCAGCGTATAAGCGCAGCTAATTCTCTGATTAGAAAGCCGCACTTCCCGACGCCAGAGAAACGCTGAGCCGTGAATCAAGCCCGAGCGCCGAGCTCGGCGGGGGCCTCCGCCGAGCTCGCTGTATATGTGTGTGTGTGAGGATGCGTCAGTGCGTGCGCCGGCGTGTGTGTGTGTGTGTGTGTGTGTGTGTGTGTGTGTGTGTGTGTGGGCGTGTGCATATGCTCACGTCTGTCAGTGTGAGAAACAATTGCTTCAGTGTGTGGATTTCTTTCCGCGCTTGTATGACACACTTGCTCCAGCCAGCAATTTGTGCCACAGTCGAACCAGTATCATTCCACCTCACGGGGGGGTTGGGGAGGGATTGTAATAGACTATGCCGAGCGTGATTTTCTCATACGACGCCTCGGTCTAACATCCTCATTATTCTACATGACTACCTGATATTCCACTTCTTGCGTTTAACAGCCAGTCATTCTAAAAGCCTGCAAAGTCGGGCCCCCGACGATGATTTCGAGATTTGCTCGAATCAGATTCCGATAACCAGTTGAAGCAGTTGATGAGTTAAAAGAAAATATATCACAAATGAATAAAATAACTTTTTGCTCCCTTAACATGTGAGTGGTTTGCAATATGTTATCCTTTGGTACTTGTGTCGCTTAACAATGGAGAGAAGAATCGGCAAAAATCGGACGATTTGGGGCGAATCTTAAAATGGCATTGTTTGTCTTATGGTGTTAATGTGTTAAAAAAAAATCGTCCCCCAAATTTTTTGTGCAGAGCCAATAGCATCCAATTAAATCAGCTGGCCGGGCCCCATAATAGAATAATCTGATATTCCATGTAGCGCTTAAAAAAAAAAAAAAAAAAGACCTAATATTCCATGTAACACACCGGGCCATAATATAATCACGATT